AATACATTATTCATTTTTGCTTGTTTGTTGCGACATCATCTTTATCGAAACATCCTTTTCATTTTATTGTTCAAAAGGTCAGTTTTACTGCACTTGAAATATAAATTACATCAGATACGAGTGAGCGATTGTAAAGCTTAATGAATTTTTAATGCAGACGGGCTAAATATGATCGTGAATAAAAAGGATTGCACATCCTCCTCTCGGTGTGCGCGTGAGAAATTTCTCTGCAGAGTTATCTCGCCGCAATGATTTCAGAGACGTGGGTGCCGATCGAGTGCATGGGAAAAAAAAAGATTCGCGATTACACCTGTAAAATTTTCCCAAATCAAAACGGCGAAACAAAATTTGTTAATTATAATTAATTATGTATAAAATTCAAATTAAAAAAATATATATCTACATTCCACAAAACGTGCAATTCTCTCGTTCGTTCCCACTGCCTTCACGAGTTTTTGGTATGCAATTGCACAAAGGTCGAAATCATGTTTGGTGTGAGCTTAGGTCGCCGCTGCTGGCCGCGTGTCGCGTTAGGGCTAATTGAAATGTTCTTCCTGCATGCTCGACGCTCTCCGCATCCGCATTTTTATACGCTTCTCGATCTGACCGCGAACGGTAGGATAACTCCCCGGGACGTAGCAATTATCCATGAATGAAGTTCGCTTCTCGTGAGGCTAACCTTTCGCTTAGTATTTAGTTCTCCGCTGAATGAAGGGGCTCGACACAGACGCAGAAAAGGTCGTGATCGCTGCCCGCGCGACCTTCGCTCGTCGCGCTCTGCCAGATAAGCCGTTAAAGGGATACCTTCGGTGGAATAGGAAAATCGGTTTTTAAACGATGAGGCAGCTGCTGTGCGTGCTACCTATTAAAAAGAATAACTTTTCGTCAGAAAGATTAAAATTTTTGCAAATTTATGATAGTTTTTAATTAATTTTTATCTTTTGAAAGAGCCACAGCTTCTTTTCTCTTATAAAAATTCAATTTAATACTCAAAATAAGTAATTGGTCATTATCTTTCACTATTAAATTTCTGAAAATTTCTGATTTTGCAATCAGAATGCGTCTCTTTTAACATCGAATGAAGATTTATGGGATGTCCCCATGTAACGATAAAAATCGACCCAACGCCGTAAACGCTTCCATTATCACTGGTTATACTTTCGAGAAAAACTGTCAACTCTATTAACATCTGGTTATAGCAAAACTGCAACTATCTTATCGGCCTATTGACGAATACGCAAATGGCCTTTGCTTCGCGGTGCTAAATGCTACATACGAATTGGTCGTGTGATTGATTATTCGAATTTCGACACGTCTGGTGGATTTGCGTGTGCGTATGATGCCAAGTGTTTGCCTGTTTGCCTCTTACACTGCAACTTTATAGCGGTTCGGTTTACGTTACGCTCGAAAAGGCGGACACTTCCTAAAAAGGAAGTTTTCAGCGCTGATAATATAATAGTATAAATTTGTCGACCCGCTTCTGCGAAGAAGGATCTAACGAAGTACTATCACCTCCGGGAAAAAATTTTATTAATAGGCGTATATCATTCGCAGGTTTATCGCAAGGTGTATCTACATCTTCGTATTAAGATTACCTGGCGAGACCTTGGGAATTAGAATAATTTACTTTCCGTCTTTCGTCCTTGAACTATAAATTTCATAATTTCATGGCAAGATCATGTTTCAGAAACGTAGGTTTCACGAGTTTCTAAGAATTTGAATATAGATTTGATTCTCATTAACACATCCGCGATGAACGTCGTGTCTTGATCAGAAGCGACACGCTTGTGTCTCCGAGAAATGTAAAAGTTCGAGGATGCCAAATTATTGAACGAATAAATTCTTACCTGTTAAAAATCAGATAGTATAAAAAATAAAATAAAATAAAAACAAGAAAAGAGAATATATATATATATATATATATATATATATAAAATCAGATAGTATGGAAAGTAAAATAAAATAAAAACAAGAAAAGAGAATATCTATATATATATATATATATATATATATATAAGAGAATATATATATATATAGTTATAGTTAAAGAATATTGAAAAGAATAAAAATAGAAGTCGAAATTATGAGTTTTAGATATCAATGCATTTAGACATTTAGACATTATCATTTCATCGCATTTGCATTTAGATTGTTTTGGATATTAATTACCTTCCTTCTTGAAGTCATTGGAATTCGGAAATTCCGAAGGACGTGTATAGCCAGTTCGTTGCCGATGCAATTTTTTTTTCTGGACGCCCGAAAAAAAGTATAAAGCCTTTAATATAATCAACTGTATATAACCGTGTGGTGAATTAATTAAACCTTACCACAGAACAGTGTTAAGTTTTTTTTGTCTCTTTGCCTAAAACGTCTGTGAAACTTTATTTTCTTGGTCTTTATCAATAGGTCACGTAGAACCTTTTTGTTATATAATAATTATGATTATACATATCTTCTCTAAATGAAAGACCTGATATTGGCGAAAGGAACTTATATTCGTGAAGGAAACTTTAACGGCACACACTACCCTCATCATCAGCCGCTATTACTTATGAGGTAATAAGCATTATGAAGTAACCAATTTTTATTGCGTTCGGCCCCTCGCCAGTATTAACTGCGCTGCAGAGTACAGAATATTTCCCAATTCATTAAGAATACCGCTCGCGGCAGTAGTATTTCGTTGTCGTCGGATTTCAGATTTTTTTCAGAACCTCTCGCTGAAGATTCGCAGTCGAGTAACTGGCATTATTATTCGTTGAAAACTTATTAATTCTTGTTGCGCTTCGAGGAGCGATGTAAGTACCGTGCATGAGAAAGCGATCTGTAATGTGATTTTTATCGTTGGGCATTAATATCGCGTATTAGATCGATTGTGCGTAATGGGAGTGTAAAAATGTCGGCATTACAATGTACGTTAATCAAGAGTCAAAAGATAATTAATAATATAAGGAGTAGGTATTTCCTTAATAAGATAAGGAAATAAAAGAGATATTGAAAATTTTGAAAATACATTATTACCAGTTATAATTTAGTTTTTTTTTTAATTCTGTCTAAGAATTTGTTGTATCTTTTCATTTATAAATGTACGCGATGATATTATTTGATTTATCGGTTAATAACGGTTTATTAACGCTTCGTACTCTTGACCGAGCTCCCATTTCTTTCGAGTGATGCACCAGATGCATCATTCGGTGCACTCTTCGGCAAACACGCAAGATAACATGAGCGGAAGCTATTCCTCAGGCATTTTTTCTGCTAATTATGTCCGACGATCATCTGTTTGCCGGATTTCCCGAGAAAACAGTTAAAATTAAGCAATTAACTTTCCGCCAAATTCCTCGCGATCTTTCTCCTTATTAGGAATTTCTAAACAAATGCGGATGTTTCGGGATAACTTTGTTGGGTAAAATGTTTGAATTGCGAGGAACAAAGTGATAATGCACTCGTGGCCTCGTGGACAAAATTTTCGCCATTTAAATGTCACGAGGGCGCCGGAGAGGTTGTTTGTGGCGGACGACGCGTTAGCCGCCATAATAACCGTCGGCGTGCCGTGTGTATCAGACGTTTTACTTATCTTCATATCTCCATAAATTACCCGTCAAGGTCACTTTATGAATTCTGCGTACGTCTCATCGATTGAGTTTCTATCAGTTAATCCGAGAAAAATATTGACGGTTAAATTCGCAAGATGAATTACTGCAAGAAGTGATTAACGAAACTCGCATAGCCATCCATTTAAAATTATTTCGAAGTTATAATTATAATTGCCAAATTATATACCCCCGAAGAGAATATACAGTTTACTCTTCTTTGCGGTTAAGAGAGGTTTGATTACATGATTGAAGATGCTCCTGCGGCACTGCGGATAAACTCGGATAAACTTTCAAGACGGGAGGTTTCGCTTATATATATATATATAAATTCGGTATATATTGAAAATTAGTAATATATTGAAATTCGGTAATTCTCGCTACATGTCCTTGAGATGAGAACGGAGAATGTTATAAGTCACTTCCCACGATTAGAATATCGCTCGACGAACGCTCGGCACCGGAATAGTCGGCCGTTACACGTGCATTCATTAACTGATTCCTGAATTTATCAGTTGTTATTTTAAAGAAGCTCCATTGTGAATTATTAGTCGAACTGTTGCATTATTAATGGATCCTCTGCCAATTTTGTTATCGAGCAATTTCGATGTTTTCAATGTTGGTTACAATTAAGAGACATGACTATTCAGTGATTTATTGTGGACGGTTATTTTTTTATAGATCAAACTTGGTCGACCTTTTCAAAAGAAATAACTTTCGACTGAATTCTGCAACGTTCTCAAATAATTCAAATCGTCAGTTTTACTTATCTCTATATATATTGCTGGTCCCATAATTTGATTACTGGCTAAATTAAATATAGTTAATTAATATTAAATAGTAAGAGTTATGAATCGTTGACAGGACCACAACGTAAATTTCGATTATATCGATATACTGCAGGTATATCTTACGACATTTCGTAACGTCATTCTCATATGTAGGAGTATACGAATCGCCGAATGAAAAACGCGAAAACATAATTCGCGACACGGATTTACGTTTCCTACGAAATATCAAAGGTACTGAGAGAGCAGCCGCAAGGCACGGCGAAGCGTGCGATGTTACACGGTCAGTCCTCGGCTGTCGTAAGCGGCTGATGTAAGAAGAAGAAGAAGAGGAGAAGACGAAGGAAAGACACAGGTGTGACCGTCGCGGCCTGTAATAAGAAGACAAAGAGCTTTGTATCGTGAGCATCTCGCGCGATCTCGCGATTTCAATAACTAAGTACTTGTAGGCGGTTCTTCCTCTTCGAGAGCACTCGAAACTTCATGATCGCACCGGTCGCACCTGTCGCACTTTGCATAAACGTTTGCGTGGAAAAGATGATCTGCTCGGCTGACGAAGACCTTTCGCATTTTTAAAAGCAAAAAAAAAACAGATCGAATTCTCCTAAGCTATCGAACAACGTTGAGTTATTTTATCATTTATTCATTTTGCTTATCAGTAATATTAAAGTTGTGACAATAACAATTGCTGATAAATCATTTTTCTGAAAACGACATTAGTAAGATTTAATATTTTTAATGCAGAATTTTTTTTTTTTTTTGTAATATATATATTTATACTTGATAATATTATATTTATTATATAGGAATACATTTTGCAACACACTGTGGTTTTATAATTTCTTTGAGAAATTTTGTTCTTACTTTTGTTGAATTTTTAGAATTTTTCGTAGACATATTGCGTGCATGATTTGACACAAGCATTACATAGATAGGTAGGTTCTTCGCGGCGTCGGATCGAACATGGCGACAAAAAAGGTACAATAGAGAGAAAACGACATAGATCATCTTTGAACTAAGCTCATCTTCAGATGCAGGATACTTCGGAAAAAATCCAGAAGGAGGCCGTTGTTTTGCGTCCATCTTAACCATGGTAGCCACCGTAATGACCGTAACCACCGTAACCACCGAACGGATATCCTAAGCAATGAAGAGATACTTATGTTAAATATTTTCATGTGAACGATCCCTTTGTTCGGGAATGCGAATGTGCGCGTGTACATATCTGAACGTGAACGATTTCTTTGTTACGAAGGCAAGAGTTAACATACGTATGTGAGCTGTTCTTCACAGTTTGCGTGATGTAAAACTTGTGTAATGTGTAATATAAAAAGATCGTTCTAGATATTTAGATCTGTGTATCATTTGTGTATCATCTGTGTGTCATGAGTAATTTATTTGTTCTATTTTCCGTCAACTTACGTACATTTTTACAAAGAAATGTATGTAATTAATTTCTTATAGCAAACTGTATATATAATAATATATATAGTATATAACAATTGTATATAATAATATATATAATCGAATAATTCTATATAATAATATTTTTATTATAAAACAAACAATAAATTGTTGTACTAAAATGTTACATTAATTATAAAGACTCAAATATCGAGAGAGAGAAAAATAAAAAAATTAATAGATTAACTTTAAAAAAGATTAAAGAAAAAATACACACATCTATGAGGAATTTTATGAGATGACGTAACTTATAAAATAAATTGAGAACAGATTTTATTAAAAATCCTACCGTATCCGTAGCCAAATCCATGTCCGTATCCATGTCCGTACCCTCCGTACCCATGGCCATAGCCACCGTAGAATGGGAACTTATATCCGTAGGAATACGGGTAACCGTATCCGTATCCTAGATATCCTGGTTTTGCAACTGCCACGCCGATTGCGACAGCCAAGAGCAGAACAAGGTACTGCAACAGCAAAAACAAACAGAAGATTTAGCTCATTAAAAAAATTCCAAGAAATTAGCGCAGCTTAAATGTACCATGAAAATATTAAAAATCGAGGAAAAAACTAAATTTATGTGAAATTCTTATTTTTCTTACAATTACATTGACGCGGTATAACACAAGCATTTAAAAATAATCTTTTAATATCTCAAGCAGAGCAAAAAGTTACGTTAACATTTAAGAATTAAAATAAGAAGAGATTGAATCAAGTACTAATTTTATATTTTAGTTCTACATTTTGTTAATTAAATATTTTTTATAAAGAATTATAAAATTATAGAAATATTACATAAGATGGTTGCAAAAAACTTATCTGAATCAATGACACAATAAGATTACTATTTCATAAGCTACTATTTCTTTTTATCTTTATGATTTTACTCGTGCGTGCAAACAAATCTCATTTTAATGACTGACATATCGCATGATGTTAAAATTTCATATCAAATTTATCATAAAAAGTACACTCTATTACAAACTTTATCATGCAATAATTCATCGTCAGCCGAGAAAACAATGCTGCAACGAGTTATCACGATACTTAACATATTCTAGATACATTCTAGAACAATTTTTTTATTCAAGTTCTCGTCGCACTTACAATCTTCAGGCACGCCATTCTTTCTCGTTATATTTACAATTGTTGTTTCTAGCCCGACTGACGCCTCGTTAACAATTGCACTGATTTTTTCTCATCTGTCGTCGTCGAACACGAAACTGTCCATTGTTTCTGCGACACGGGTGCTTTTATAAGAAAGGCGGGGTCCCTAAGGCGTGTAAGGCGGTGGACCCCCCACGAGAGGTATACGTTTTTCCGGGCCTCGCGCGGTGGCCTCCGCCCGTTGTGCTAATAGAAATCTTCATTGTTACCCTGGGATTATGCGAGTTGCGATTTTGCATTATGAAAGCAATCGCGACGCGGCGATGCGGCGGTAACGCACGGTGTGACGGGGTCACGTTGAGCGTGTCCACGCCCTGATGGGCCGCCTTGACATCCAAATTTCTTCTTCAACGCGATTGCTCGCGTGTGTATCGCCGTAAACCCCCTCATTACGGGCGGCAGAGAGAATCATATACGTCGCAATACACCGCCGGTTGCGATACTTAATGCTGCCCGCTGCCGTAATCGCTAATCGCTTATCGCCGACGATAATTCCCGGGCACGTCGCATCGGGTGAATCAGCTGACCCCCTCCGGCTTCGGAGGACGAGTTCTTTCCCGAATATCGTCACCGAAACAGAAAGAAGTGACAGACGCGTTTACGCCCGCGCTGGCCCGACGATTACGTAAACCGGGATTCTCTGTTACAAAATGTGAAATTATGTTGATAGACTCCGCGCGCGCGCTTGATACATGCGTGTCCGATTTGTCAATTGTCGTGGCGACATTCTCGGCGACGTTCCTCAAACCGAAAAAGAAGGGATAATTTAGATATTAAAAATGAAGAGGGTCGAGAACGGAGAAATTTATTACCTATATATACGCTGATTAAATGGAGATGCCGGAACTAGAGCGAGTTCATTAGTCTCGGAGTTTCTACTATTCCCGGAGTTTCGCAGAATAAATTATGCGCAGAATATTAATACGGAATCGATAGAATCATCGTTAATATAGAATGATGCCGTGTCACAATGATAATAAATTGCAATGATAAAAATTCCTTACGGAAGACAAGATATATAGGTTGGCTTCGCCGATCCAACGTGTAACATAAAATTAATTAATTCAACAGAATCTTAATTTCTCGAGAACTCCGTCTTGGCCAGGTAGCGCCAATCTATTTTTATTAAATACGACGAATGTCTTTTGACTCGCCTTATCAATCATGTCTCAACAGAAATACATATGTAATATACCGTTTGCATAATCATAGTTTCGCGTAATAATGACATGGTTAACAGAAGAAGTTGATGCGTCATATTAGCTAATTCTAATTCTAGTCAGTCTTTGTGTAGAAAGTTACCTATAAATGTAAATATTCCGAGTATTACGCATCTTGTAAGTGGTGTAACGATAAGAAACGGGCTGATCAATTGTTAAGAATTTTAAGTAATTTTACTTATTTTACTATTTTTTTTCTGCTTCAACTTCTTCAATTGATAACGACAATTTTAACTACTTCAATATTTCATTCCTATTATAGACTTTATGAGAACGCAATTAACTACTACGATTCGCACTTCCGTCGATTGAAATATCATCGATATGAATATTGTATGATTATCTTCGTTTTTATTAGAGCACGATTTTCTTTGTTGCATTTACCTTCACGGTCGATTATCCACATTTTCCGCCGTGCCGTTTATTCTCCGCTTCCAGCAAACGAGATCGGATCTACAATCGATATTTAGAACGGCGAAGGATTTCCTGCGTGTTATGTAAATTGTTATTTACCTTGAAATTGAGTGATATAATAATTCACTTTTATAAACTTAATTCTTACTAATGGGGATTTTTAAAAATATTCTTTTTCAGTTCAGAAGGTAACTTTTAAACATGAAAATAATTATTACAAAAAAACAATTGATATAACAAATAAAATTTAAAAAAATATTTAATATGACGTAATAAATTAAATTCAATAATTATATATATATTTTTTTTATTTAAATTTATTGCCTAATTAAACTTATATTCCAATTTGAAGTAAAGGGAAATTCTGTTATTTTTTAAGTAAAAAAAAAATATATATATACACGTCTTGTTAACGGTTTTTTTTCACGCAAGCAAACGGATGCGACTAATTGCATGAAAATTAAATGTCTCTAACTTTGCGTGTCTTGCACAATCGCGTTTCGTATCGTCATTGACGCAGTAGATGCGACGTATATGCAAAATCGTAATGGAGGCCACGAAAATTACTGGACCATAGCAACGCTCCATGCGTTATTGTTAGAGACAAAGAATAATTGTGTAGATAAAGGCCGACGGCAATAATCATGAGAACATATTCTATATCATAATCCTGAGAATCCGCTGTAATGGAAACTGATGATAAGCACGAATGTACGCGTGTCGCGCAGTGCATGTAATTAGTGCGCCTGTTTAATTATCGGCTTATCTTTCCTACAGTCAAAGGCACTGGCGATGCCGCATCTGCAACGAGCGGAATTTATAACAACCCTCTGCGTACGTTTCATAATTTATTTTTAATAGGATACATAATTTAATAACAATCGGCATCTAAACTACGTGTTTCTTATGACTTAAAAGGTCAAAGAAGTTTCTACATAAGCTGTTTTTAAATTAATAAATACATTACTATAACTTTAACAAATTTTCCCTCGTAAATTTTTCAAGCCGAGTTTTGAAATTTTCGTTCACACTTAAAATTATACATCTTATATTTTCTACAATTTATTGATTCTTAAATTTTCTATTTTATAAGCAGAGTGTTTCCTAAAAAAAAAGAAGATACTTAGAAAAATTTCTCATATTACATCATACTTTCTTCATATCGTTTACTACATTGTAATTTTAGCTTCACTTTCTTCTGTCAAGTTTAACGTCAATATTTCAAGGGATCAGGCTCTCCGACTGTCGATATTAATCAAATTGACTCGCTTCAACTCCTTTCGTCCCGACGTCTTGTATCGATTCGAGCTCGGTGCCGGCGCTACCTCCTCGTCGTCGAGCGCGGTGATCCGCTCCGGGGGATTCTCATCTCCCGTGAGCTCGGCCGGTGCCTGCGTTGTCTCGGCCGAGTCACCCGAATCGGCGGGTCTGCCCTTCGGCGGTAGGTACTTCTTACCCGGGAAGAGAGGTCCGTAAGGATGAAACGGGAGCCCAACTAGATACGGATCGGCATATATTGGATAGCCAACGGGGCCAACTCCGACCACAGGGCCGCCCTTGAACACCCCATGGAAGTGGTCGTAGGGCAGAGGACTGAAAGGGAAACCGTGGAGGGGAAAAGTCCCCAGTAATGGCTTGACCCAAGGGGGCCCATAGGGAGGCGAGTATCCGTTTTTTGTCGAGTTATTCTGATCATCATTCCCAGCCGGTTCTTCAGTTTGTCTTGCATTATTATTATTATTATTGTTGTTGTTGTTGTTGTTGTTGTTATTGCCATTATTATTGCCATTATAACCGTAACCATGACCGTAATGGGGCGATCCGTAGAAATCGGGTTCACCGTAAGGCCCATACGGACCGTACGGTCCGTGGTGTCCGTGGTGTCCGTGGTTTCCAGAAGTGTTATTTCCGTTTCTCGGATAGGGTCCGTAGAAGTCGCGATTACCGTACCCTCCGTATCCTCCGTAGGGAAATGGGGAATAGGGACCGGAATGATAGCCGAAACCTCCGTAGGGCGAGCCGTAACCTCCGTAGTTGGTCCTGTTGTTCTCCACTCGCGCGTTCTCCTCCGTGCTCGCATCTTCCCCGGATTCACCGTACGGATGATGATGGTGATGATGATGGTGTCCTCCGTAGTGTCCGTACGGTCCGAAACCTCCGTGGAAACCTCCGTAGGGTCCGTGGGGGAAGGCTGCCTTGGGGAAGCCCACACCGCCGTGATAAGCGGGATACAGACTGGTGGGCGACTCTTGGATGTTACCGATCGACGAGTCGATGTTGTCTCTGGACTTCGGAGTCGCGTCAAGATTGTCGTTGCCTGCTGAAAAATCGTAAGACCTGTAGAAGTTCGGCTGTTCCTGGCGCAGGTAGGAGCCGTCTCGTAAGGATCCGTCGACTCGTATGTTCGCCTCGGATCCCTCGAGTCCTTCGGGGGAATTATCGTACAGCCCGTTGTAAGGATACGGGCGTGGTTCGTAATAGCGGGCTGCGTTTGACGTTCTGTCGACTATGTTGTCCAGGATCAAATGTGAATTCAAGTCGTTGTCATTCAAGTTGGCCGTCAGGCTGGAGGGATTGGATGATCGATTACTGCGGGATTGCACGTCGCCCAAGATAGCCGGCGACAGTACTGAGGCTACATTTTTTGCGAAGTTTGCTAGGATATCCGGACCTGCGTTAAAAAGAACAATTTATTGTTAGTAAAAATGAAGAAAATTTTATGAATTTGAAGAAAACACGTTGAAATTTTAATTTCTTTCTTCTTCGTTCTAAGTCTTATATTAATGAACTTTGCAAATAACTTATGCTCAGAAACTTTCCAATCGTAAATTGTAGTTTATTTATTAACTGGCTTTTATAGAAATGTATTTTTTACTTATCTCTTTGTTTGAATTTTGATCCGTGTAATAGTAATTATAAGAATATTGTTTCGATGCAAATTCAACATTTTTAACTGTTAAAAAATAACTGTTAAAATAAATTGTTGATCAAATTATAATTTGAGTATCACATTGCATACCACATTATTTTCTCAATATTTTTTGTAAATAATAATGAACCATTCATAATTGATGAATTTTGAGAAGAAACATTTTATGCTTACTGACTGCGCTTCTGGCTGCTCTTCCATTATTTATTGCGCACCAAAGTGCGATGTAGTATACCAATATCTGTAAGAAGAAAATTCAATATTAGATTAAAAGCACGGACGTTGTACTTACATTAAATAATAAACAATAATAATAAATTAATAAATACTTAAATATTAACGACTCAAAAGATTTTTAGTTTATCTATAATGCATCATTCATTAAAATTCATTGCATTTTTAATATCAAGTGTTATTTTATGGATAATTTTTAAAACTATATAATTAAATTGTTAAAATAAATCTTTTTCTAAAAGACATCAATATGCATATTAAAAAATATATATAGCAAAAATTAACTTTATTATAATTTGCGCTTATATTTAAAAAGAATCTAGCAATAAATTATTACTCTGTAACTATTTTGCAAAATATCTGAGATAAAAGCAAAAAACAATAATTTTATTTTAGATGCGAAATTACGAAGATTTGCTCGAGTACAATTAATATTATTAACATAGAAGACATAAATAAACGGTTCTTGGTGTGCTATATTTGAACATGAGATAATTTAATTATACCGGCGATATCCGGGATTTCCCATAAAAAAAAGGCAAAAAAAAACGAACTGCGTAACGCACGACGACACGAGTAGCGTGACCGGCGCGATATAGAATTATGTTTTATTTGCCATTGCGTAAGGAGAGACGCGTGCGCATGTAAATTCGCGACGATCAACGCATCGTTCCAGCAGCGAGTTTTGCAAAATCTCGGCGAAAAGAATCTCGCCGGCTGCACACACGCGCACGAACGTCAAATATCAGTTCTGGATATGCTTATTACCGCGTCTCGTCGCGCGGAACTCGATTCTTAATAATAATAGAATCGAACCGGTCTGTGTGCGGTCACGCAGATTGCATTTTCGCGAGGTACACAATTGCAGAATATACGCGCCGCTCGTTCGAGCCTATGGAACTTTCGTTAGGTGAAGTGACAATCTTGCAAAATGAAATTAGAAATTCCTGGCACCAGTCCCTGAGAAAATAATTAATAAATATTTAGTTTTAATGTCTTCAGGAAAATGTTTCCATATGGGAGAAACTTAGAAACGAAACTTGTAATTGCAAATTTTCTTCCGATTTATGTAAGACTCGTATAAGAGAAGGCATTGTTACGTTTGCGTTGTGCGCGCGGATGTTTTACCGGGGTTATTACTTATTCTTACCCGTTATTTTATAAAATACCTAGTTATGAAGGAATAATTTGAGGATATATTTTTTAATGTAGGTATCGATGTAAGATATAACGCGATTTCCGCTGTGTAGTACTGTAACATTAATATAAAAATGCGAAGAAGTTTACATCATTTTAATGTGAGGTATCGATGTAGGATGACACGACTTCCGCTTTATACCGCGACATTAATATAAAAATGCGGTGTTTTTAGGTCATGCACTAAATATACGTTATGTTATTTCTCTATTAGGTTTTTTATCTATTTCCGTAGAATCTTCATCCATCGAAAAATTTTGGAAATGTAATCTATTAAAAGGAGATATAGGTTTCCACTACAAGGATAATTTACACACGTGATATAAGCAAGAAATGAAACATCAAAAACGTTGTCGCCACGAGAAATAATAATGTATCATCTGTTCTGCGCGTGTTAAAAGGAAATTAAATCGCCATTCAGGCATGTTCATTCACAAGTCTGATTTTCGCGAGTCACGCGTTCTACACGTGCTCGCTGGCATTTCTTCGCACAGCATCCGTTAATCATTGCTATTGCGATTTGGAATTAAACTCTGACGTCTCTAAATATTCCATGAAATTGCATATTTCGATTTATGAGTTAGACTTTCGTGTGATGCGTGCATTTCTTAAACCAAAACGGAAACATCTTTAAATTATGAAATGTACACTGCTGAAATTGACGCGAATCATGAAACTGCAATTTCTTCACAGACACTCAGCGTACTTTTTCTAATATTTTTTGTTACATGTGTGATCTAAATAAAATTACATGTGTTTATTTGCAAAAAGGAAATAATTTTTAATATTGATAATATATGTACACATGTGTAATAAAGTATCCACTGATAAAATTTAAGAATTAAATAGATTGTACCTTTTTATTAATTTTGTTCAGAAATTAATTGCAGCATTTGATAATAAATTATTAAATACTGTAATCAGAATATTTTTTTTGTATAAAATATACCTAAAATTCATATATCACTTTAGATACAAATTCTTATGTAATATTCAAGTTATATGTTACAATATGCAAAGGCGAGTGTATCAAGAGAATAAATTATCCATAATATCCTTGTTAATAAATTCACAAATGATTCACTCGATTATGATATGAAATTACGGTGAAAATAGTACCCAACGAGTTATTCCCGCGTACACGATTATAAAAAATACATGCAAATCGCAGATATTTCGATAGGCATTCCGCAGTTTTGACACTTCACACAAATCTATTTAATGGCACCTGACAAATTTTTAACGTTTTGCGATGATTTATTGCGCTATCACGGATCGGTTACGAAATTGCAATTTTGTTGCTTCTCCCTGTACGACCAACGGCTTTTACATGCAAGAGGATACTCACGTGCGACGCGTAATGCATCGTGCGTGTGGCTCGTGACGACTAAGGGACAGACATCGTGCCGGACGTCATTTATACTTTCTCTCCTTAAACGCCTTTTACCCTCGATACCGAGTGCATAGGGTGTAAAGGGTGAATCGTAAATTGTAGTCTTCACATTTTTCGATTACGCAAATCATAAGCTTTATCAAATTTATAAGCAAGAGGTTATATGACGCTGATTTGTGCTCGCAGATTTTGGCATCTACAAAATATTAGCCAATCAGATTTTTATATACCTGTCGTTTATAAATAATTAAAATAACACTGACGCAACATTGAGCAGATATATATATATATATATTCATTCATTGTTACCCATTAAATCTCGATAACTAATATCGAGATTAATATGGCAATAAATGTAGTATAGTATAAAAATACAAAACAACGTACAGTACATAAAAGTATATAAAAGGTTGTGTCGCAAAGTTTCGGTCTTCAATTAAAACTTACGAGAATATATTCTTAAATAATGAATATTTTCTATTGTTCATAATTACGGATAATTTACGCGAGAATCGTGGCAGCTTTAATTTTGGCGTAAATTAATTCGGCGAAAACCACAAACTAATAATGCTTCATCCGAGCGTCTCTACTTTGTATCATAATGCATAATATCGTGCCGTAAAACGCAATGTGGGTGGCTTGACGTGCGTTCTTCGCTGAAGAGTTTCATGAGGAGAGAAAAGACTCGAGTAAATGATGTATGCATTTGATGATTGATGGCCTGGTCGTTCTAACAGTCCGGCAAACTAATAGCCGATCTGGCTGATTGTGCCGACGATACCGGGGGCGATGACACCGGGAAGATTGTAAATTTGCACAGGTCGAGGCGAAATGCCCATCAGACGGGTCGCTCGGAAATTCGGCGTGATTATTACTGGCCGTTGAGTGTTGCTCAAAATGTTCTCAAATTCTCTAGCTTCAGCATTAATCTGCCTGTATCCCGGATACTTGGCGACCATGCCGCTTACGCTTCCGTAAGGAATCCCACCTGTTGAATGAAGCAATCGATACATTAGTAAAAAAACTTTACAACATTCGCAATTAAATATAACTTTCGATATAATATAATTGACCTTATGTTAATTATGATGTCACAATGTTTTTTTTTATCTACATTTAAGATTTTCGAACAATGATTTAATGTTTAAAACAAGTGTAAATTTCAACTAATTGCAATTTTGAAATTTGACATTTGTGGTATCATTAATTAATTAATTAACATTTATAAAATTCATAAGAGTTTCGTTGTAAACGAAATTATTTTTTACCAACAAGAAAAACCAAGTCGTTAATATCTTCTGTAAATAACTTATATCTCACAAATTTCAAGCAAAGCTATTGTAATTCAGAAAAATCTCGGAGATATATAAAGCAGTTTTTTACATCTCTGTCTGGAGAATAATTTAGCTGTTTTTTTTAAGTAATTTTGATTCAAATAAATAATTTTACACAAATTTCTTATACAATTTATTTCAAAGCAATTATTTCACAGAAAGCAATGTCGATTTGTATTCTAAATAAGTACACGTTAAACTGAACCATATTTATTAACAAAAAGTTAAATTAATTAATTTAAGCTATTCGAACACGTCTGTCTGACGGCTGCAATATGTTGTTTCGTCGGGTGAAAGGAAGGAAGATTTAGTCATCAATGATTACCAGTGCTGCTTTCTGTTGGAACCTAATCTGAATTATATTCAAAGATAAAGAATATAAAAATACTTAATTTATACATCTAACAAACAATATTACATATTTCTATATAATATAGAAATATCTGGTTTAGCATAAAAATAATTAAACCACAGATTAATTATTTCTGATATAAATTATTTGTCGCCTTTAAAATGACATCAATAATTTTAATGGTGTGAGAAAATTAGTTAAATTCAACAGATTATTTTCTATAAATGTATATAAGATTGTAACATATTATACATATAAATCTATAAATTTTGATTTGATGGGTGTGTCTCTCTTGAATTTGGAAAGTTGAGAAATAGAAGTCTGACTTACCGTACGCCAATCCATTCACCATTTCCACTATCCCTGCGCTGTCTGGTGCTGCTGCCGATAATTTTAAAAGCGTCACAAGTCCAAACAGCAGGGTAATCTGCGAAAAATCAAATGTGAAATAGAGATTTCAATGCGTGTTCGAGAATATCTTTATGTAACAATGCTAACGGAAAATGATACAATATAACATATTTAATATGTTTCATGATGACGTTTATCTGTTGACAAAAATACGAAATTTTCTAGAATTTTTGTCATTAACTTTTGCGCAATAATTTATGAAAAAATTATTATACTATATTATTATATAACATTAAATTAATTATATACCCCATAATTTATTCTATGACTATAAATATTATAATATTAGTAGTATGTTAGTAAAACGTTAACGTTATTTTATAATTATGCTTTTCCTTATACCTTATACATGTATTACGAATTACTTGATAACAGTTTGTTGTACGTGCATATTTCTTCAGTTATGTAATGCAGCGATGTTTTTACTTATATTGTAAAAACATTATGTTTTTTCAGTTTACTCATGAATTAAACATACAATTTATCATAATTGTATTATTGCTATCAACCAATAACGTCAATTAGCATCAATATAAGAAATGTTTCGCGTAGATATATGACTTTGAAACTGATTACATTAAAACAAATTTAGGCAATCACAGTAAAATGGCAATCGCGTATAGAAAGTGTGTCATGCTTTGCATGCCAGTTTTTCGCACGTTAAGATTTCGTTATCAATCTGCCTTTGTTACACAATCTTGCAATTCTTAAATATTGCTAAATAGTATTTATCCGCAATATTCTTAAACCGAACATTAAATCTAATAGCCTTAAATCAAACAGATTGTTACTCATTGTCAGATACTTTCTTAATAAGTCGCCTCGATATATAATAAAATAAACATTTTTTTTACATACACATATATATATATATATATATAAACTTCAAGGTCTTCAAGTAAAATTAATCAAATGCTAGTCACATATAGCATATATATTAACTACAATGTAACTTTCTATTAATCAATTGTATAATTCTATATTTCTTTGAAGACACACCCGATCACAACCTTCAAAGAGAACTGCAATACTGAACGCATTTAATCTATTATCGAGAGCATCATTAAATCTTAGATACTATCTTCGCATAAAATTACAGGAACCACCTCATATCCTGCGCACGGTATTCCTATCGATGGGACCACCCTCGAGATTACTATAATTTAGTACCCGACCACAAAGCGCCTTAACGTTCACGTACCTTGACGGGCAGCATGTCGCCGTTTCCAGTGGTGCACGACACGTACCCACGTAAACGCGCGTAGGCAAAACTAGAGTACAAAGGCAAAGATCGAATTATATATCTCGCGTTGCGTGACGCGGAGCGGTGTGGCGCGTCGGGCCAATCGTAGAATCCAGCGTTCCCTTTCGATCGCGCGCTCAGCTTTATTCCTCCGTCTAGGATTTTATCGGAGCGTGTGCGAGGATATCGGTGGATATACCCACCTTGGGGCACCTTAACCTTGGAGCACCGCAGCCGTGCCTCTCACATGCGGCGCCGCTGACTCTTATCCCTGCGCACCAAGGACCGATTCCCTCGGCGCGGCCACCGCCGCGTTTTCTCTCTTTGTGCCCCGCTCGCGCTTTTAACGACGCTGATGACGCGCGTCCTCGCCGACCGACGACAAATGTCAACGATGTCCTTTTAGATTGGATGCGGTTAGGTTAATAAACAAGAAGGACATAAAAATTGCCGATAATAATGTGCTCAAGTTTTACTTAGGAACTGCAGTCGTTAAAATCTTTCGCGGAAGATCAATGACGGTATAGAAGGTGGTATAAATATTTACGAATAAGACAAATTATTGTATTACTTCACAGAAAGAGATTATAGAAATATATGTAAATAAATTAAATAAAATTTAAAAATAGAAATTTATAGTACAATTTGTTATAAAAGTTTTCATATATAGATATATTTTATATATGATAAATGTGAAAACTTTGTATATTGTTTAAATAATATCAAAAATTTTCCGTATCTAGTTGATGGTCATGTGCGCATCGTCAGTTGATTTTTTTTTCACGTGAGGACGCGGGGAAGCTGTTCGCTGTTACCTAACGTAATACGATTATTATTGTCGCGTAATGCATTTTCATAATGGACATTAGCGATGTCTACTTGGCGAGAGAAAATACTTGGAAAGTATCTTGTTGGAGACAAGAATGCGTCGCGTCAGACAGTGTAATTTAAGTCAATTTAATATTTTATCATCATTTATATGATCGCGTGTTAGGAACAACTCGAAAAAACGCGTGAAATAAATCAGTGGCGTCACAGGCGATCTCTTAAGTAGAATGACAGTCATTTCAAATGTCAAAGAACACGTTGAGCGACGTTTCTGACACGAATGAATTCGCTACCTTTCATTCGTGGACTGTGTCATTAAATTTGAAGTGAAATAATCGAGTGACTTCTCAAGATTCTTATTCATTGTATATCACATTGGTGCTTGTTAAAATCTTTGTCCTCTGTGACTCAGATGTACTTGATGAAAAGAAGAAGTTTGAACTAAAAATCTTGAACTACATATATCCGCACGTGCGTAATTTATTTGACAATGACAAATTACTCGCGACAGATATATATTCGTCACGCTTGTTTGAACGACTGATACTTCTTTCCATAGCCGCCAGCGAGACCGGCGTACCTTTCCTTTCCGGTTACAGAATTCCATTATTGTAAGGCGAGACAAAATTCTCTTTCTCTCTGCCGTACTAACCGCTGATACACGTGATCTAAGTAAAAATAGTCCCACTAAGCGTCTCGAATAATTTTACGATTGATGTAGCTTTATATCTAAGGACAATAACATTAGAATATTGTATATTAAAAAATAGATAAAAATTTAAGTAAAAAAATTATCTTTTTTTGACATTTTATCTTTTCAAAAATAATATTTACATTTGTTAACTTTATTGTAATCAAGAAATGAAAAAGAACGAAAATTTTGTATTAATTGTGAAACGCATACGCGGCATTTAATGGATTAAAGTTCTTCCGCGTTTGATTTTTCGTAAAGAAAGATAGTGATCGAAACATCCATCTTATTTCGTTTTAAATATTCTACGTATTTATAATATACGATTGTGCAATAAAACACAATTATGAATGCCATAGAGCGCAACGGTTACACAGACGCATTATGACTTGGTTGCATTACGCATAATTGTTTTGAGTTTCCCTTCGATAATGGATCGCTGTGGCCAGATAACGGCGTAATTATTAATATGTCGCTTATTATAAGTCACACAAAAAGATTACCGCACTTATACGACGAAAAATAGATCAAGGGTATCCGCTCTTCGAAGACGGTCTGTGCGATTACGTAATAACAAGGTTAATAATCCAGCGGAGTCATGAATCGCAGCGATTGTTTTGATGATAAACATTGCCGACAAAGCGTTGCAGTTACAGAAGAGAAAGCGACAAAAAAATATTAATTTAATGCAAATCGCGCTTAATCATCCAACAACCATTATAATTATGTATAGAATTAATTGATGAAAAGCTCAATTAAAAGAGTCTTTAACGAGAGAAAACTGTTTCGTTAAATAAGTTCTTAAAACACTTATACTATTAAACGATGCAATAAAATACCTAAATATAAAATAAATTATATTTAGACAATTGTTTATTAATCATCATATTTTTATATTTAAGATTAATAAATTATATATAAAAATAAAAGTGCTGTTAAAAATTATTATTATTATGAAAAAGGTTCACATCGAAGCTGTTTGCTTTCTCTTCTGTCTCTTCTGTGTAAAATATTGGGTATTATAATTAAGTTATCTCAACAATACAAAATATTGTAACGTCACACGCCCGCATTTATATCATGTATAATCATATATACCTTTCGTGGGAAAGATTTTAACGTTGAGATCAGCATAAAGTTCGCGAAAGCGGACGATTTATATTACCGGTTATGTCAAAAAAAGATAGCGATTATTGCCGGCGCATTGTGAATCTGTGAGTGAGCAGAAAATTTCAACTCTTAATGAGGCGTCTTTTTGTCGTCCCGAGCGAGATATAATTTCTCCGGTGTTTCGCACGATTTCTTCGCGCTCGCGTGGGTCGCGCAACAGTTGCGTCGATGAAAAAGAAGAAAAAAAACAGATACGGCGACGAGTTTTGAGTGGGATGTATTATGCAATCCCCCTCTGTAACGTTTATTTAACAAAAGTATCCTAAGCTATATATACAACAACGTAATTAGAGGTCGGAAAAAACTACTATTACAACACCTTCGGATCGCGCTTAATCATCCGCGTCTAAAAATCTGCGCTTTCTCTAAAACAAAAAAATTAATTAACTAAAATATGCTACAATAACTACTGCAAACATTAAAGGGTATCGTGCGTATTGAAATAAACTCGAGTGCAAGTGTTCGAAGTTACTTCTGCGTCGCGTACACTTTTGTAGTAAATGTTTCAAGAGATTTATAAAAAACGCCTGCTTAATGCTTAATAATCAATTTCTTGTGTGATACGCTTATGATAATTTCCGATTTCTTTATAAACGCGATCAAATTTGTACATTATTATCTATTACGAAAGAAAAAGAAATCGATGAAAAGAAATAAATTTAAAGAGCTGAAATAAATTTTTTGTGGTTACCTAAAACAAAATTAATCTCTCGCGCGAAAGATACGCTTTTGTTGAAGTACCTAAAAATTTAAGAATCTGAAAATAATTATGTAGAACATTCAACATAATGAATGGGCAATGCTGCAAAGAGTTTTTACATTCTAGCAACCAGTTTGAGCGTCCTACATAATTGTTCATGGTTTAACAGAATTATTTTCGGATTTATATCTACGTAAATTTTTAGATACTTTAGCAAAACTGTTCTTTCCGTACGTAATATCAATTTACGATGGAAATAAGAAATGTTTTGTTGTAATTAAACAGAAAATAACGCCGGCTCTAATTATTTACGCTCTACGTAATAGTAAAGCCTGCGTTCCGGATCTTTTATGAACTTGGTCTGCAATAATGACTTCCGCTTTTGTTCCACAAAAGCCTCTCCTTTTTCTTCCTTATCGTCTACGTCTTTGTTGTTATTTTGATCCTTCCAGTTTTCGGTTATCGATTCACTCTGAGTTATTTTATTGTCTCGATTTCTTTCTCGATTTGGTGGAATTTTATGTATCAAGTTGCGTACTGTGTAGATCTGAAACCACAAACTTTCATGAATGAATCATGAATGAGTCATATTGAACGCATAATTGTATCAACATGCATGTATTCATATAGTTAGTTTTGAGTCATTACATGTTTAATTTATGATGTTACTTTGCACATAAAACATGTTTGACAAATGATGCTTACATTAAATATTTTTACGAATTGCATGAACAACTTGATTAACGGTTTTATCTTAAATTCTAAATTCTATTAATTAATTCTATTTAATATATATGTTTCATATTGTTACGCTAGTCCTGGTTCTAATTCATTCTTAATTTTGAAATTATTACAAGAACATTTTGTCCGACAGAACAAAGAAGGAGAAGAAGAAATTCGTGCCTTAGTAATCGTAATTCTTTGAAATCCAAGACATAGAGGACGTCGTGTGTCTCGAGCCATATTCGGTCAGCTGAACCGTCCCGTGCCGTGGTGACAAACTTACTTCTGACGATATCCCAAAGCCACCGTTGACACTATCATCATTAACAACCCCGTCGTAAGTGCCGAAATCATTTATCTTCTCAACTTCCTCCTTCTTCATTCCAAAACGTTCGAAAACGTTACCTCTATCCTCGTCCTGAGGCTTATCTAATGTCACCGACTTTTTAATATCATCTTCATTAACAAACTTAACTTTATAATCTTCTTTCTTATCATCCTGCTTTATTAATCCACTTTCGTTATTTGAATTTTCATTATTATCATCCTGTTTATTATTACTCTTCCTGCGTCTCGATCTGATTCTCAACCTCACCGGCGTTCTTCGAGCGGACGTCAGATTCGTCTTCATAGAATCGAAGTTCTCCGTTTCGTCCGGATAAGTGGTCTTCTTAACGATCTTCTCCTTCTTGACTCTCGATCGGTGCTCGATCGTTCGTGTTTTCGGGGTCGAAGTTCCTACCTGAAAAATCATCAGTTTTGATTGTTTCGGGCGCGGGGCGTAGCAATTACCTTAACTACTGTAAAAAAATCTAATCTATTTACTTTCCTGATTTTTTTTTAAATATCTTTTTCGAGCGGATGTAAAGGCGGATTGTCTTACAATTAGATCAAAATCGTTACTTACCGAAGGCGTAGTCGTTGTCGAAGCCTCGGATTTCCTGCGTCTCTTTTTCGTGGGCTTAGTAATGGACTCGGCGGGTGAATTATCGAGGGAAATCGTGGAGTTGTTATTCGATATTATTCGTCGACGTTTCTTACGTCGTTCAGTCGCCGCTTTCTGTTCCTTAACTTCCTTCGTTCCATTAGATAAGTGACTCGGCTGGCTGG